TGACACTCTTTAGCTTTAGAGCAGCTAGGTAGGGGAAACTGTATATGGAAAAAGAATTCAATGGTTTGGTTCTCTGGAGCTACGATGTAAATTTCTCTTTGACAGTTAACAAGAAAAAGGCACTTAACATTTTGCAAAACTACATGTAAAAGTTGTTCATGGACCGAGCATTTCAACACAATATGGATTAGGCAGGTTCAGTTTTTACTTTGTGGTATTTTTCAACTGATTTGTAGTTAAATCTAAAGCATGTACATTAGGAAGTAAAGAGCTTTCCATACAAGGTCTGCCTTGTGAGAAAAACAAGATGGTATTTTTGGAATGTCCGTGCCACTAGATGGCAGGGCACACTTTGAATAAAGGAAGCAGCGAACAGGCTGTATTCCACACTGATTTGTTCTTAGTCTAGAAAATCCCTCATTGAGCTTGTCAAAAGCTTGGTTGGAGTGAGGAGTGGCTGGAGTGTTGGATAGAACTGTAATTGTCATGACGCTTTGACAGCACTGGCATGCAGTTTTATCTTTTTCTGCAGTACAATAGATATCTTAATTGAATTCCTCAAAGCTCAGCTTAATAAGATAATAAGGAAAAGCTGTGCATTAACTGCAATTAAATTATGAGCCAATGTTGGTGATTTTGTTTAAAAAAAAAAAAGAACCTTTCCACCTCATACACGTGCCTCACTTGCTGTGCCAAATTCTCAGCTACTCAGTCACTCCTTGAAGTAAATTGCAAAGAGCAGATTAGCTCAAGTGCTGACCTTGGAATCTGGCTTAAAATAGTTTGGATGGGCAGCTTGCTGCAGGTGTCAGATTCAGATAGCATTTATAAGAGTTAAGGTGTCTAATTTTCACTCTTTCACGTCAGTTTCATTTTACAGTAACCGTAATAAGTTAATTGAATGAAACTTGCATAGTGGTGCTGAGAAGCAGGGTGTTTATGTTGTTCAGCTGCAGTTGTTACGGTCTTCAGAATACAAAGGTGAAAAAGTTGTGTGTTTACTGGTGCAAAATATATAGGTATGTCTGGACAAATTAGATGTAAAACTCTTCTATTTTCATGTGGAACATTACACATTGGCAAATGGAAATGAGCATGCTGAGATCAGGTCTATATCTTTTAAAGATCATAGAATCAAAGAGCAAGTCTGGCTCCCTCAGCATGTAGCGTCTCTGTAGGAGAGCTGCACTCTCTTATTTCAAATGTCCAGCACAGTTTTAGGCTTGCCTATCCCTCTGACCTGGTCTGCTATCTTATTGCCATCTCTGCTGCAGTGTGCTAGTCTTGACACTAAGCAAGTTGTTCTCTGCTTTCTATGCTTCTTACCAATTTCCTGCTTACTGAGGTTGTTCTGTGTGTGTCTTCCATCTTCCCCTAATGTCCTCTCAAAAACTCGCTGTTAGCTTGGTACCCGGGAGTGGTGTTTTTATAGATGATTAAAAGATATTTTTGACAACTCGCTGAAACACTGATTGAATTTCCCAGTGTGCCTTATCTACCTCTGTGTTCCTTTGATTTAAGGTGTGAGATGCCTTTATTTGAGGATAGTGCAGATGTTAAACGTATGATAAAATGGAAATAAGAGTTTCCCAGTCTGTATGCGCAAATGTAGGTATTGGTGCAACAAACCACATGTGGCTTTTTTGCAGGTGCTCCCTTTTCCAGGATTCTGGGCTTCCTGCCAAAGCATTTTCTCTCAACCTCACTGTTAACCAGTCCCTTGCATTTTGCATCAGCTTCTGTCTAAATAGGCTTAGCCCTCCAGTTAATAGATATCTTTTTCTCAAGTGCTGCCCATTGCACCTGCCTTTGAAATGTGCTCTGGAGAACTCAGTGATTGGTCTGTTGTGTGCTGTTGCTGTTTAGTTAAATCATTGCTTAGTTTCAGGTGGCTGCATTTGCATGCTGGAGCACTGGATCCTCCTGTTTACTGCTTTTGTATATCTTGGATGTGTTTGTAAAGCTTGAGGGGAAGTTCAGAATGAAAAGTATAATATCAGTGTTTGGGATAACAAATGGTACAGGCCATACACTCTCTTCATTCAATGCTTTTTCTGTTTCCACATCAGTGAGCACGTTGGATGTAATGTTGTCACAGCATGCTACCAGAAATCCTGAGATCAGTAATGTAAAATAGGTCTTTGGAATTTTAATAATGGAGAAAATGTCAGTATGCAAAGTTGGTGCAGGGTTGTTCCTCCCTTCCCCCAGTTCTACTCCTTTAGATCAGTCAGTGTATTTTCTGACTTTGTGGATACAAAAAGTGGGAATGAGACATCCTCTGGAACCATGTATTGATTCCCACTCCGTTCCAGTAGGATTCACCACCCTGAAAATCAGTTGTACACAGGCATACTTGTAGACCAGAGTTTCAGGATCAGCTCCCATCTTCCCCAGGTGTGTCTGAAGAACTTGGAGTCCTTCAACATTGACATGGTTTTGACATCTCCTAAGAGAGACTGTGGCATCCAGAGATCATTGAGTTCTATCCAGACAGCTGTTTTTCCCCAGCTAGGTTCAAGGAGTTGTGTGTGACCAGCAGTGCTGCAATCAAACCAGCTTGAAGGTTGTTAAGTAATACCAAAGATAAGCAGCAAAGCATTCAAGAGAGCGTGATTTGGACCCATCCTCTTGGTAGAAATGACATTGCTATTGAGTTCATTGAATTAGGTTGGTATTTTTCTCATAAAATATACTTGCACACTGTCAGTAGTATACCTGGTGTTTATGCAGTGGCTCCATGTGTGCAAAACAGTCCATCTTGGCAGTAGCTTTCTTGAGCATTAAACTTAGCCAAGCCTTTTTTCCAGTAGTCTCTATGTATATCTTGATATGGAGAACACGTTGAGACTTTCTTACGCAAGAAATGATTAGAAGCTCTCACTGCAATAGGCACAGTGGTGTGGTTCATTCCACATTACTGAAACGCCTCTCTAGCTCAGGCTATCAGCCTCTCTAAGTGAAATTAAGTGAACAGTTATCCAGGCTTCCACTGAACCCATAGAACTGAGGAATATTCTCAGTAACAAGTCATGACAAAATTGAGTTCAGTACCAAGAAAATTGCTACTCATTTTCCTACCAAATTGTTTATTTGTTTTCCTTTGGTTACCAGAAGAAATGACAAAAAAAAAAAAAAACCAAAAACATTATAAGCCAGAATCCAGAAAGAGATTGTGCTAACTAGTTGTTGAGAGGTTATTTATTTGCAGCTAAAGGTACTGGAGTGATCTGTGTGTGAATTTCTGTCTCTAGGATTTACAGAAGCTCTTGTACAAGGCAGATGAAGTTGCCAGAAGTGGGGCCTTTCTTTGATAGTTCTACTCTAAATGAGGACAAAGTGGATAAGACCCATTTCTTGGATCTTTTTAATTGCTTTTTAGATCCCAGCAACTCTTGTTTTTAATTCCAGAACATTACAATGCTCAAAAAGCTTAGTTTTGCTTCTTGAACAGGCAGTGAATTTGCTGCTATCTCGCCTATTTAAAGATGCTCATGTGCAATATAAAAAAATCCACTTCCCCCAGACACGTTCTTGCACAGTACAAAACCACAAACGTTGTATTAAGTGCTGTTCTTTTTCTTCCTTGGATCACGTGTTATTTTATGTGCAACCTGGCTACATTTCTTTGTGAATATGACTATACACCGAGAAGCGATAAAGTAGTGGACAGTGGTCAATCTATTTTAGTAGCAGACCTGCAAGGTGGCCAGTTTACATACTGGTTCTCAGCATAGCTTCTCAGCTGCTTATGCCTAATATACAGCCCTTAATCCTTTCTGCATGTCATCCCTTGAAGCAAATGATAGAGACACAGATTAGGAGATAGCAACAAACAGGAGATTTTGTCTGTTGATTGCATGTGCAAATAGCTAATCTTCAGTGCAATGTTCTTTAACCCCAGAACAGTTATGGACTCCTGAGAATCCGTTCTTACTGAAACTCCCCAGCAAAATCAGATTTTCTATTCTTCATAGGGAAAAAAGTGCTGCAGGTTTACTTTGGTCATGTGTGTTTGTATTGGCAGAACACAAGCTTCCGTAAACGCACGTGTGTAAATGAAAAGTGAATGTAGATAAGCAAAGTTGAAAGGCAGTAAAATGAGCACTGTCCGCTGAGGGCAGCCGCAAAAGCAGCTCCCAGTCTGCCCTCCTCAGCAGACTTTCTACAGCCTAAAGCAGGATAAACGGGCCATTTGCTGTGCTCCAAACCTGGGAGTCAGAAGTCCCTGTAAGAAGCTGCTGTGGCACTCTAACGAAAGGGTTTCTTGAGTTACGTAAAGTGGGAAAGCAAGGTGATGAAACCGAAACAACAAATAAATACTATGTTTCGTGCACCCTTTCAGTGCCTTGCCAAAACCAAAATGTATCTCCCCAGAAGTCAGCTGACTTTTATCGGCTTTGCAAAATGATGAATGAATGCCTTGGCTCTTTATTATTGCTTAAGTCATTCCTGTTTATGCCAGTATTTCAAGGATTATGTTTTGATTGTTCTGGAGAGGTGAAAATACTTTCTTGCTGATGAATAAACACTGACACTTTTAAATATTTGTATGCAAAATGTCTTTAAAGCCATTATGAAATGCTTACCAAAAGCACTAAGAAGCTGTTTCCCAAAAAGACAGTTTTTTCTCTCCATTTTCTTTCATGCTAAACAGTCCAAATGAAAAGCCTTTCAGAGTTAACTAGTTTAAGCAATACCAGTGTTTTAGTGTAATGAATAACTTTTTTATAGAGGACAATTGCACACAGTTCAATATGCTAGTATTTCTATTTCTGTGCCTCACCAATGCCAGGACTCTTGGGTAGAATTTCTTTCTTTGGGAAAGCTGAGGCGATCAAAACCCTGATTAACCTCTGATATTCACGTGGTGCTCTTGATCTTGAGGACCGAAGCAGTAACAAAGAGTTAATGGCAGCCATATGCTCACGGTATTGTGGGTACTGTTGACCCAAATGTGAACTCAGGCAGCTAGTGCTGCTAACTGCTGTTTGTTTCAGGTTTGGCGTGGAGATTACTGATGAAGAGTTTGAGCTGCTACTTGACAGAATCCCCCTTGATGAAGATGGAAGTGTCAGATACCCCCAGTTCATGGCCAGGTTTGATTCCCGGTATGCAGCATATGCATTTTATTTCTCATTTGTGTGTAGAATTATTTTTTAATTTAAGAGGCTCCCCTAACATTTGCAAACTGATCCTCATCTCTTAAGTATGCTTCTTTATGACATATTTCTTACATGGAGAATGCTGATTGCATTTAAAATTAGCTGATGTTATGGGAATGTATTGTTTATAATCTAGTTTGTCTTTAAACGCTAGTTATGTGTTTTGGAGGACTTCAGAGTCATGTAACATATCCTCATGCTTCTGTAGGCTGGGAAATATGACAGACTTCTAAGTAAAAGCTAATTGCTTCCCAAAAAAATCAATACATGTACTTGATGCAGTTCTAAGAACTTGAAGCATTTATAGACCCTATATATAATCTGAAGTTGTTTTGAAATGGTGATATTGCTTAAGAGAAGCAAGCTCTACTCAGACTCTAAGGCCTAGTTACACACATGAGTTTGATTAAAATAAAGAAACAATGGGCTAAATACACATACTTTATCAATTTCCAAAAATGAAGACTCTGTTCCCCAAACAGCTGTGCTAATAGCAGAGTAGATGCCAGTGACATTGCTGAGGTGAATGCAAGTCTCTTGTAGAATCTGGGACTGGAGAAATACATCCCACCCACTTACATGCATACATAGATTTTTAGACTGCTTAAAGGCAATGCGAATGTTTCTGAGTTATGTAGCAGGCAAGAGCATATCTTCTGTATAGTCTGCATACATGCATGAAGGATAGGTAGAAGTCTGAGTACTGAAATAACATTAGGTAGTTCCTGCACTTCAGGTAAAACTGCACATAGCAAAGCTGATAAAAGTGCTTCTATCCTCCAGTTCAACTAACTGCTTTTCTGCTCTTTCTCTCTCATTGTCCTCATCATCCTGCTTCAGGAAGTATTGAGGTTAAATTGTTTGTCCACATGTTTTAACAGATTTGACAGAGCTGTCAAATAGGATACAGGATTCATGAGATGCATATGTCCTTCTGGAATGATATCCTTGAAGTAACCTCTGAGAGTCTCTCAAATTACAGTTGAATGTCTTTGGGTGGCCTCCTGTTTCTCTCATACTTTTACTGCCAAGGCCTCCTCTCCAGTTCTTTCTTTCATAGTCTTCTGAATGGGTTGCAGCTACCCTGGATTTGGTTGTGCTTGAATTTCTGTGAAGTGTTTCAGCTCCAGGAATATAGGATGTTGTGTCCTCTAGTGTTGAGGATGTAAATAGGTGGCAGAGGATAAACATCCTCTGGCAAAACTACGAAATTTTGAGAAATCAAAAGCTTCAGAAATAAGATACAGAGAGGCACAACACTGGACCTTCTTCCTCTCACTGTGCACTCTGCTGTTGCAACTCTTTTTCTGAGCTTCGTGCTTTTTTTCTCACGCACAGATTGCTTCAGCTGTCATGTCCAAGTAAATTCTGAAGTTGAGAAGCCAACGTCCCTAAAAGAAGCAACATTCATCTTAGTAAGTGTATTCACTTCATGCATCAGATTGGAGACCACATTTATTTCAGCTTTTAATAACTATTTTCTTGTATTTACTTAAAGATACACATTTTCACCACAAAGGAGCTGCATTAGCACAAGGTGTTCCGCTGGCTGTCACTTGCCTTGGAGTACATCTGCAAGAACACACACAGCTATTTGTAGCCCTTTAAGAGGCCTATGACTGAACCCACGTTTCAATAGTAAGAAGCTGTACTATGTAGTACTGACCAGTAGTTAACATGCACGGTTGTATCTAGTATGCTTTTCAACCAGGGGCAAATGATGTTGTGACCATTAGAGATGTGAGAATCCTAATTTATACTAACCTAACTCTGCCAGCTTCAAGCCCTTTGCGGCGCTGGCTGAGTTGGGAACACGCTGTATAACATCTACCAGAGAACTGTAGACAATATCCAGAACTTTGCTGCTGAATTAATTAAAGCACTTCTACATTAAACAGTGAAGGAAGGAATGTGCAGTAACTGGAAGTTCAAAGCTGCCTGTTATAAATGGGAGCGTGCTAGGCAGAGACCTTGGATGCGTAGCTTACATTTGCAATGGAAAGTGCAGAAAAAGCTCATAGGGTTAGGAAAGCTTTTTCCCCTGGATGTGCCCAGCCTGATATCTTCCAGAGAAAATGATGGGACCTGAGAAGCTGAGCTACCATCTCTTGCCATATCTCATACAAAGATCTCTGCTTTTCAGAATCTCTGTAAATCTGAATGATTGACTACAGATTTTGTTTTGTACTGGTCAAGTCTCATATGACTCCCATGCTATCAGATGCCACCAAAAATAGTATTTGGTTAAATATAACCAGAAACTGCTAGCCTCTATACCAGAAGACTCTCAGGCATAGAAACACTGTCAGGCCCAAAGGTGGATTGTATAGAAGAAAAAGAGAATGAGTATTGTAAGGAGAAGTGGGCTGTCTTGGTTGCTGCTAGAAGAACAGTTAGGTTAGAAACCCAGAATAAGATGGGACAGAGAGAGTCTAGAAGTACACAAAAGTAGTGGCTTTTGTTATGATAGAGGGAAGAACACCTGATCATGCAGCAATTAAGTGTTTTCTCTGCAGTCAATTTTTGAACTTATCAGTCCCATTTCCAAGTCACCTTTCAGAATGCACTCAATCTAGCAATTTCAAAGATTATTAGCATGCCTGCACTTGATGCTTAGAAATAATTACTGTTTATACAGAAATCATTGTACTTTCCATGGCACAATTCTGTATTTGAACATGATCCAAACAAATAATTATATATGTTCATTGGGAATATTGTTGCTCAAGTCGAGTGGGAGAGAGTACATAAGCCCCACAGCATAGCTTAGGTAACAGGTCTTTATTTGTTTCACATTGAGAACTGGGGACCAGATCATTTTCTCAGATTGCTTTGATGTTAGTATGGGGTAACTTCATTTACTAGAGTGTGACTGGGATCAGAATGTAAGACTGAGGCATGGTAACTTTCACTTTCATCACCTACCCCCAGTGTCTTTCTTATTAAAACAAATGTTTCTTCCAGCTTTAGTCTCAGTTTCTGAACTGTATGTAGTGGGCTGGCCTCAGCCAGCAGCCAGACTCCTGGCCAGCTGCTCATTAAATGACAGTGAAGATGTTTTATTTACTAAAATAACATCTTAATTGGAAATTTGATTTTCTGTAACTTATATGTATTATTTATCTTCAAATAAAGTGTCATTTTGGTTGGAAAGTAACACTGTTAAAGAACTAAATTTGGTTAAAAAAAATGGCTGTGTATTGACTTCCCCTTTCACACAGTCATCTATTTCTTCCATCCCTCCCTTGTTATCCACTCAGGTAGGCCTACTACAAACCATAAATATAGAGAGTGAGCTGTAGGAGACTCAGCATGTTCCCAATATCATAGATATTAACAGAAGAGCTTAAAGATTTGCCCTGAGCGGAAGAAAAAGTTTCTGAGTCTAAAGGAATATAACCAGTGAGGATAATATGGAAACCTTTGCCCACAGTCATAGATGGGAAATACAGAATTTAGTGTAAGAAAAGAAAAATGTATCTTCTTTCTCTATAATTACATTTTATGCTAGTGGTGATGATAAGAGGATTAATAAAGACAGGAGTTATTCAGAATCTGCTATGGGTGCATTAGACTTAAGACAAATTTTAAAAGAAAAAGTAATATTATATATATTACCTTTGAAAGATTAGAAAAGGATTATGCAGTCAAAGTTGGTTTGTTTCCTCCTACTGTTTAGTTGACCTAATCCAAGATATCTGTAGACCATATCACTGTTACCCAGATGCTGTAATATGTGCACATTTGATGCTCATGCTGCACACTGCAGACTTAATTAGCCACATGCATTGGTGTGTACTGCTCATACACCTCAAGAGAAGGATCTGCCCTGGAAATCAAGTACATCAGTAGCTTGGCTCTTGCTGCCCGTTATCTGGGTATTTACTGTAGTGACATGCACAAGATAGAAGGGAGATGTAACAGCAGAATCAAGGCA